TCAGCCCGACTCTTCAACCCCTCCAGGGATCCCGGGGACTCCCCCCTGCCCTGGGCAGCCCATTCCAACGCCCAACAGCCCCTTCTGCACAGAAATCCTTCCTCAGAGCCAGCCTGACCCTGCCCTGGGCAGCTTGAGGCCATTCCCTCGGGGCCTGGCGCTGGGGCCTTGGCTCCAGAGACTCATCCCCCCTCTCTGCCCCCTCCTGGCAGGGAGTTGCCGAGGGCCAGGAGGTCTCCCCTCAGACTCCTCTTCTCCAGACTGAACCCCCCCAGTTCCCCCAGCCGCTCCCCAGCAGACCTGTGCTCCAGACCCTGCCCCAGCTCCGTTGCCCTTCTCTGGCCACGCTCGAGTCATTCAATGGCCTTTGTGGGGTGAGGAGCCCAAAACTGAACCCAGGAATCGAGGGGCAGCCTCAGCAGGGCCGAGCCCAGGGGTACTTGTTTAGATGTAGACTAAAGCTAGAGCTGTGCTCAGTCACTGACAAGCAATCGCCCTCAGCACAGCACGTTTCTGTGATGGCCACTTGCCACACCAGCCTCTCCTTTCAGCCCTCCACAGCCACCTGGTTCGGTCAGGCAGAAACACATGGCACAGGGAGAACACAAGGACCACCTAGACTCCTCAGGCCTGTGCTCTGTCCCTGGGTTTTACTCCAAAACAATGACAAAACATCAAATATGCCTGGATTTATTTATTTTCTTAAAAGGCTTGGCTGTTCAACTGCAGGGAGAACGGCCCAGTACCAATTTCTCCAGTAATACACTGGGCAGACCAGAGACAGAACACAACACCCACCAAGGCATCTCTGTCAGCACAAACGGTTTCAGCATCCCCCTAGAAAGAACGAAGGAAAGGTAGACACAATGGCCAGCCCACGCCGGGATTCAGAGAGAAGTCTAAAACAAGCAAATGCACTGGTGTCTTTTCTTCATCATTATGGAGGGAGTCACTGCACCTTCAGCTGGAGTGAGAGCATTCCCTCATGCTCCCTTCTGTGTCCAGCCGACCACGGGTGTGCTGCCACAAAGGTCTGCTTTTGTTGGAGGACGGGAAGATAAAGCTACTGTAGGGTTAAATCCAGTGACACTTCCTCTGTTACGAGACTTTTTGTGTCCCCCCCTCTCCTATTGCAAATCTTAGTCATTGATTTGGTAGCCCAAAAAATGCAATCTGTTAAAAACTGAATTTTTAAAAAAATTAAAATGGTGCAAACATGCCTGTTTTCCCCCTGCAGACAGCCTATTTTCGTGCATCAGAGGTCAACCTGGTCACAGAAAAAGAATCTGAAGTTGGCAGGACCAGTCAACCTGTGAGACAGGCCACTGCCCCCCTAGTTTTCTGAACATCAAGTCAATGAAAAGCAAGGGGGCACCCACTGCAGGACGCTGAGGCTCAGTTTTTCCCCCTGTGGGCTGGCAGGATGTGTATAAACCACAGTGTTGAAACAAGTTGTACCATGGGGCAGTGCTGAAAGATAAATACCTGCCTCTGTCCTCTACCTTATGGTTTGAGCTGCAGCCTAGACTCATCAGTCTTCATCTGAGCTGTCCTCTGATTTTTCATCGGCAGCCACCTTCCAGTTCTTCCTCTTGCTCCTCTTCTCTGGTACTTCACTGTGGCTCTCTGACACAGAATTGTGACGTTTCTTTCTCTTTTTTGTGGGCCGTTTCTCTTTTTTCTCCTCGGATTCACTGTCCTCGGAGCTGCTGGTGGTTGAGCTGCTTGCATGAGAAAAGTCACTTTCCTGCCCAGAAGAAGAGGTAGGTTCCCTGGCAGGCACTTTCCTGGTCTTTTTCTTACGCTTGTGTTTCCCTTTCCGGGTGCTTGAAGTCTCCTCTTCTGAGCACTCACTCTCCCGGGAAGAATCTGATGATGTTCTCCCTTGCTCCTTTTTCTTTTTCTTTCTCTTTTTGTGTGATCGCTTTTTTTGTTTCTTCTTGTGCGATTTCTTTGTCTTTTTCCGTCTGTGCGATTCACGGGCAGTTTGCTTTCCCAGATGAGATTTCTTCTTCCCATTGATGGCGTTTTGTTCATCTCGTTCTTGCTGGTCACTGTAAAAAGAACAAAGGATGACCAGAAAGAAGCAGACAGGCAGGTGCAAGGCAGTTGAGCCTTCTCTGTCTCAAAGTTTTAAGCAAGCCCATCAATTCGTTCGGCTAGAGCAGGGAAGCTGGCACTTTGACAGGTGTAGTAGCTGCATTTTTTTTCCAAGTACTTGTTAACAGCTTGGGTCCACACCTTGCTGATACCCGTGTATAAGGTATATGAGCCAGAACCAAGGAGAATGTGTACTGAAAGCCACTGAGTGATGAAAACTCATTTATAGTAGGTTACTTCAAATCCATATGACTGACAGATATTGTACATAATGATTGTTAGATGTAGTTTAAAATTAATTAATTCTACCCAAGATCTTATTTTACAATTAAGTCTCCACTCTCCAGGATATTACAAGAATTTATATTCTCCAGATAAGGAGAAACAGAAAATACAGGTGCACTATAATGGAAAGAAGAACCCGGAGCTGGTATTTGAGAGGGTGTATACTGAGTTGATGTGGATTCAGCCTACTACAGATAGACCTTCCAGATTCATTACATTTTAGTAACTCAAGGTAAAGCTGACTGTCTAATTACTACTCCCCTCCTAAGACTCAGACAAGGGGGAACCACATTAATGGACTAGATTTTTTTCAGTGGGTGTCTGTAACTAAAGAGCACTGCTTTTCTGTATTAAAAACTTAAAACTCAGTTTGCAAAATTCCCTGCATAATCGGTCAGAAGATTCTGGATACATTAGTAAGCCTGTGTGCCTTACCTATCTGTATCAAACTCTTCAGGGTACAACTCTTTATAGCCACTGTGACCCCATCTGTAAGAAAGCAGAACCACCTGTTAGGAACAGACAAGGTGTTGTAAGGAAAAACTATAATTCTGAAAAGACAGAGCCACAGAACGAACATGAGTTTAGAAAGCAAAGAAGGGCTATCAGAACCTTCTCAACAAAGGAAGGGAGGAAATATGACTGATTTGGTTGGTACTATTTAAACACATCTTACGTTCTCAGACTTTTTTCCACTTCTAATTATGGAAAACTACAACTAAAATTCTTTTAAATATCCCTAGCTTGCATTTTCTCAAGGTTTTTTTAAGATCCTCGGGCAAAGTAATAAGTACTAAGCTTAGTTCCTATGCTTAGGACTGAGATTTTGCATCTTACTGTGATTTAGGAACTCTATAGATGAACTCAAACTAGGTATTCTGTGACACTGCAGTTCATGCATGTTACTTATTCATCCTCAAAATGAGATCAAGCATTATTTTATGGGAATACATACTGAACATGTACTAACTTTTTGGTACAGGACTCCAAAAAGGTGTTTTAATTACAGCTATAATCACAGAACATTAATTCCCCCACAGACCTGTCTGGCATGTTGGCTTCACACTCATAGAGCTTTTTATTCCAGGATCGGGCCCTAAGGAGATCATCTTCAACTAGGTCAAGAAAGTGTGAGTTCCTTGTTTTCCAGTCAGCCCTGTAGCCCTCCTCATCAAATCCATCACTGCGCATCCGACTGCTGCAGAAAGAGAACAGTTGTCCTTCAGCTGCCAGCTCTGATGGAGAAACTTTCTGAGCAAGGGGTTAGTCCAGCGAGAGGAGCAAAAATCCAGCAAGTCTTGGATGTCCATCTATGCAAGAAGACCAGCTATCATTTTAACAGACAGTCACCGACAACAGCTCTCACAAAACCAGTTCAGTACCTAACACTGGTTTTCACAACTTACTACAACCCTCTGGGCACAGCAAAATTCTTGACAGAGATGCTCCCAATGCTAAATTAGAGGAAGGGGTTATCCTGCCTGTCACAACAAATGCAGTTCTCTAGAATACTCTGCAGGAGCAGCAAAAAAGGAGAAGCCGAAGGAGCCAACTTACTAGAACTGCAATTTGATCAGGTACCAGGACTAAGACCCCAAAACCACAGAAAGCACCAGCATTTTGACTGATCTCACATGCCTGTGGCTTTAGTTTTGTTTCCTGCGCCAAGCAGCAGCCATGGACTTGGCATGAGTCTGAAAGGTGCTGTACCCCGATGCTAAAACATTCCTGCAGCATTCACTGTAAAGTCTTCATGGTAGTAACCTTCCCCCTGCCCTCCCCAAACCCAGCTTGTGAGATCCTCAGGCACGTCAGAATGATTTAACAGGTACCACACAAGCAGCAGTTAACTCTGGTGTGTTATAATAGTGCAGGACCCCACACTGTAACAGTTTCGTTTACTGCTGACCTAAACAGCAATACATTAGACTTTCCTCACAACATTCTGACATATTACTCAAGCACTTCCTAGCCATTCCTTCAGAGAGCCCAGCCTACTTCATGCTGTATTTTGAGGACTCTACATCTAGATGAAGAGATAAAAGGTTAGACTTGAGCAGAAGTCTGACCTCTTTTCAGGGACTCATTAAGGAGAAAATCAATGCATCTGTAGTCTTCATATATTGTAAACAGAATGCTCTGAAAGTGTTATAACACAAAAGGGTTCAGCAACTAAGTCAAGACAATTATCTCCTCCACACAACTGAAACACACCTGGAGGTGTCCGACAGCATTCTGCTTTGCCTTTTCCAGTAAGTCTCTTCTGTCTGCTTCTCCCACTCCCTTATTTTCCACATTTCTGTCTCTTCCTGAATCTGAAAGTCACAGAAGGGAAACAAGTGTAACATTAGGGAAACTTTACAGATATGCAGCATGTAAGGTCAGCTCTAGGTCAACACTCCTGCTAACAAAACTCACAGCAAACTTTCCTACCATACTAAAACTAGTTATTATTTGTAGCTATAACCAAGGTAACCAAAAGATAACCTCTTGATGGTAATACCCTACCAAAGCACACAGGTACAATACCACCAGAAATGTTGGGTTTGCCTGATTTTATCACCTCAGCTGTTCTGGCTCCCCTCCCTTGTCATTCACCACCATCCCAGACACACGGACTGTTAGAGAACTCGGTATGGAAATACCATCTGGAAGGACCAAGCCAAAATGAGAAGTTACACCACAGGCTGAAAAAACACAGCATGCAAGTTCTGCGTGGCCTGGCACAGATTTATGTTTACGGACACTGTAAATGAGTGATTTCATAAACATACGAAACAAAATTAATCCTGCTGGATGATGTCAGGACTTAATAGTTTGCTAAAGTTAAGGGAGTTTCTTAATCTTGCACTAAAATACTGGCTGTGCACATTAACAGAAAGTTTAAATTCCCTGATTCAATTAAAAATACGCACGCGGCACAACAAGAAAAAAACAAAACAAAACAAAACAAAAAAACAAAACAATTAAAAGTTTGCTGCTTTTAAAAAGGCAAATCATAATTTTAGCGAAAGTTCTGAGGGAAGATGTTTTACATCGGGCAAATCGTACAGGCAGAATACACACGGACATTCCCTCGGCAGGATGAGAGCTCAAGAAAACCAGGCTTAAACCGCAGGCGAGACTAACGCCGCTCACGAGCCCCTTCCCGCCCGCTCCCCACCCCGCAGCACCGGGGAGGGCCCGGCCCCGGCGGAGCCCCGGGCCT